TGCGCTAATTACTGTTTTCTTTCAGTTCTTAACATTTATGGATCAGGATATCGTTAATGCGGTGATCGTTGCGCCAATCGTTGCGCCATTATTTGTCAACTCTGCTGCATCAGGATATCATTCCTTCCGTGGTGGCCTGAGCATTTGTTGCGCTTACTGTGGCGCTGATTGTTGGCTTTTCAGTTGTCAACTAAACTGGATCAGGATATCGTTGTGTCAAAAGCCCGGGCTGTTAATGCGCTTATCGCGGCGCGTATCGTCGTGCATTCATCGTTAAGTTTACTGGATCAGGATATCAGACGTCATCCATTGGAATTGGGCTTGGTAGCGCCGATCGTGACACCAATTGCTGCGCCTTTATTTGAACTCTGCGGGATAACTCTACCAGTCAGGGTGCGGGGGCTGGGCATTTATTGCACCATTCGTTGAGCAAGTATTGCACTTCAGTCTCTCTTGGGCAAGGTACGGTCGTGGCTCGCCTTGATGGGCTTTTCCAGTATCTCTTTCCTTTCAGCATCTTCAGCGGCTCTCCCCCCTGTATCCATTGTTTCACCACTCAATGCCGATCTATTCACCAGGGAACTATGAGATCACAAGGATCAGCAGAGTGAACTTTATAATTAATGGTATTTACCATGGATTCAAGGTGGGCTTTAATCAGATCCCGTCTCTTCCTTCCGCTCGACGTAATAAGAAATCGGCCGTTTACCACCCCAGTCGTCGATAAGTACTTGGCCAACGAGGTTGCCTTGGGCAGGGTGGCAGGCCCTTTAAACAATATATTAGAGTCGATGATATCATCAGAATGGTTAGTGAATACGGTCCAGAAGCCCTGATAGCCAAGTTCGATGTCCAGTCCGCCTATCACAACGTTGCAATTCACCCTTCTGATCGTCACCTCCATGGCATGAAATGGCGTGACAGATACTACGTCGATTTGGCGCCCACCTTTGATCTTCGGTAGGCCCCATTTATCTTTGACTCCATAGCGTCCGTGGTAGAATGAATCGTGTTAAATAATCATCGTGTAAAAGAGAGAAAAAGAAAATATATGAAGTAGTTATAAAAAAAATGATATGCCTTTAAAAAGGCACAAAAAACGACCAACATCACACCCCCAAACTCTATTTTACTATGTAAAAACAAAATAGAGACGGTGTTTTAATTTTGACGTTACTATTTTAGTATTTCTGTATTCATTTCTCAATAAGTAGGTGAGGTTACATAATTGGCTGTAACTTCCGAAAAACTCAACATGCGCCCGGCAAACTTCAGGATAAAACACTATTACCATAGCTTTCGCATGGATAACATCAGAAAACTGTACAATAAACGTTTCGTCAAAGAAAACCCCTAATAGTCCTACTTTAGTGAGAATGGGTGAAATAGAGATGACTCTGCCGATACATTACTCCCATAAATTTGCTATACAGGTATGTGCCGCCAGATAGGGTATGGTTTTTAAGCTTTTTGTCTTAGATAGGGTATACAATTTACCTTATAATTGTCTTACATATATGGTCTAGCATTTGGTCAAAAACCGTAATCGGTTTATGGGTTGTATTAAGTCTTAGACAGGGTCACAACCAAAGTCAAGTACACCACTTCCCCGGGGGTGTACTGAGTTTGACTTTAGTAGGTCACTTTAGGTATTTAGCATATGCGTATGTAGGAAATATATTTTTCCCAAATGTAGAGCATTAAGTCACCAATTTTGCTGAGACGAACTTTTTTTTCAAAACGCCTAAAGAGAGGAGAGAAATCAGTTCGATGTAAGTAGTACTTATATTATGGATTGCGTGATATCTGAGAGAACCCTCATTAGAGTGACTTATTCCTGAGATCGTTTTGGGATCATTACATGTGAAAACCCTGTGGTTTGTAAAACATATATTATCACTCGAATTCTGACAGATTCTGTTTCAACAGGAAAAGGAAAATGACAAGTTAGATTTTATCTGTGATGAACACTTTGAAGATAAGAAACGTCCTAAAACATAGACAGGAACTCTTCAAAAACGCAAGAAAGAGTACACTACAGATGTGGTTATAAATATAAATATATGCTTCAGTTTCAGACACATGCAGCTGCTGTGGCTCTAAGGGATGGACCATTAGAAAAGTGCTGGGAGGGGGACTTCTGAAGCACTATCTGTAGGAATTTATTGGTTGGGTCCCTAAGCCTACTTCAGTTTTCCCCACATGATAAATCCAATGATATAATAGATGGTGAATTCACACGTASAAAGAGGCTAGACTTTTTATGGTTTGTAGGATGATAAAACTGGTAAATGGTCTACCCATTTGCAAAAAAAAAAGAGGCCCAGTACAAAAATTATTCTGGGTATCGTTTACTTTGGCCATAGCAAGAATAACAAGCACTATGACTCTATCAAGCCTATTGAGAAGGTATGTACAGTACAGTATGCCCTGAATAAATTATAGAGGATATCAGTTTTGATGCTTAGCTGATAGTTTACCACAAACAAAACTAAGAAACATATATATTACTTTTCAAATTATGAAAAAACTTCAGTTAAGCTCTATGTCATAGAATAGTAAGGCTCATGAACTTTACAAGTAGTATTGTACCTTTACAGTAATCCTTTCGTATTATCATCATGTATTGCATTGCAAATTCTGTTTTCGTATTCACGTGTTAATGTATTGTGTTTTTCGGCCTTATATACGTCCTGTGCCCTGTCTTGAGAGTCAGTTGAACGCCAAAACGTCAACCAGAACAAGAAAGAGAAGTTATCGAAGGAGCGAAGAGAAGAAGTCAAGCCAGAGATTTCATCTGAGCTGAAATAATACAGTGAAAGAACTCTCATCTTCACTGTTAGAGGAGAAAGAAAGAAAGAAGTTACAGCTACAATTGTGGTACTAAAAGAGCATTTATCAGTGGCCTTCTTGTCTTTGAAGACGTGGTTATTTTAAACCCAGCTTCAACCCAGGAAAATAACCTGAAGTAACAGCGTCCTGTGCAAGGCACTGAACTAGTGGAGAATACAGTAACTTCATTCAGTCGACAAGAAAGTAAGAAGAGAACCGTTCAAAACCAAATCCAAACAGGGCAAAATTATAAAGGAAAAAAAAACTTCGAGAACTGTAAGAACATTTAAATTTATTTATCAGCAAGAACTTTCATAATATATTCAAGCTATCTTTAATTTAACTTAAGAATTTCAAGTTCACAATTAGTTTCTTTAATAGTTTTTATAATTATATGTTGCTATACAGTAATATTATCTTTTCTTTATCAGAGTCTATGTTTCAAAATTAAGACCGTGTGATTGTTTTGTGTGAGTTTGAACACCCCTCGCAGGCCGTCCACTCTTGTGTTTTGTATTTTTGGTATTGGTATTCTGTGTGTTCCATTGGACCTCCTGACAAATATTCATTTCACATTTTTTATATACAGTGAAAAATTATGTGAGGTGAGTTACATACACTAAATTCATAGCTGTGTTCGCATGCTGTGTCCAAAGAAACGTTAATGAACCCGGAAATTAAGTCTAATAATACTATGTAACTTAAGTCTTAACAGTCAATCTACCTCAATCGTGACCACCAAGAACTCATTACTAATTTCATCATTTGGAAATTTAAAAGTGTATTTCAAGTGTCAACAACTTCAGGAAGCTCTGGTGGAATCACAAAAGTTCCTGAAAATACAAAGGGCAAGATCTTTTTCTTTTTAATTTAAAGATGCTATGAAGCAAAATGGTATTCGCAAGGTAACCAGAAAAGACATTACACTTTTAGTTGGAGAATGGCATAACGTTGTTATTTCTGGACAGTTGGAATTTTGACAGTTATGATGTCACTAACAGACATCACAATGAAAATAAACTGTCAGGTCCTGGAGTGTGTTTGCTCAGTGATCAATTGCAATCAGTCTCAAGAAAATAAAGATTGTATTAATGTATACAACATTTCAAATGAAGGCAGAACAAAAGTGGGCTACTGTGATGGCTGGGCAATCGCTAAAGTTCGATATGCACATATATCTGCATTTTGAAGAAGTGTGCATTCTACCAACCAGGGAATGAAGAAAAATGCCATCAACTCATACAAAAAAAAATGATGGATAGGATGAATTGGTCATCTCAAGGGGCATTATGAGGAGACTTGTCTGTTAACTATTACCGTCATGTGTACGGGGAAAACTAACACATATTACTGATAATTGTTTTGAATTTTTTTCTTGCACTGGAACAGAAAAAGATAACATTTCTTAACAGTAAGATTTTGAATGCGGTCAAAGACGACCTAGTTAATAATTGCAAACAAATATGCTCTGATAATAATCTTTTTCAAAGTGGAAATGCGCGAGTTTAGGTTTTGGTYGAGTCTCGAGGGTCGAGGGTAGAACGCCGAGGGTCGAGGGTCGAGAGTATCGTATAAAATAGACTTTAAAAACTATATCAAATAAAATTAATTTCAAAGGATTTTTTTGTAGCTGTTTATGTTTTTTGACGCTTGTCTTTTTCAAACCGCTTTGACACATTCTGAACCTTTCTGATCGAGCAAAATGAAATCAGATACGCCAGTTTGTGTTACTCCATCGTCTGCAGTTATTTAGGTTCACCTTACTAGTTAGATTTCGTATTCTATTTTATTTGCTTTCATACAAGCAACATGGAAGAGCTGAAAAAGACTGAAACAATCTGGTTTTGTGATATCGTTAGATCCCCGTAGGGATGGAAACTGTTTTTTCTCTGCTGCAGCATATCAGCTTGACTTAGAGGCTGAGAGTCTAAAGAATGTAATTCTACCTCGCATTTGCATACAATCGGAGGTCACGTGAGATAGCAAGCATGCGTATCCGAGCTCAGTGCGAGTTGTTGTCCGAGCATACAGTCGCGATTTGTCTTAGAGGAGTTGAAATTGCTTCTTTTCGACGAAAATTATCCCAAGATAGTTTTAAAAATGGCTGAAAACATCAGTCTAGATTCTGAAGACGAAGGAAAGGGACCGGAAAGTCATTCTAAGAAGACCGTTGACAGTGGTGAAGGAACTTCGGAGTCGGCCATGCCGCTCGATACATCAACCGACCAACTTACCCGCTTAACATCAGCGATTAATCAACTTACAGAACATCTAATTGGCAAAGAAAATCCTACAAAATTGCAAGAAGACTCTTCAAGAACCCCTTCCGTGAAGGGAAAAGGCAAAGGGCCGSCAAAACGTTCAGCGGCCCCTGAAGATCGTCCCGCCAAAAAACGGCGCCAAGATGGCCGCTCCACGAGCACGCCTGATGGCGAGGATGATCGAGACCCTGAGGAAATCATGAATGAGATCATTGGTAAAAACAATGTCTCAGATGAATCTGAACACGAACATGAATCTGGTGAGTCAGATATTGATGRAACACTAGCCGAACTCCAAAAGGAGTACGAGTCTGATGACATAACTGGGGCCAAGCTCCAACATAACCAGCTCGCTAAGCTAGTTGACAAAATGCTTCGACATCGTATGTCGGATAAAGCATTAAAAGACAAGTTAGATCGCATAGAAAGGCCGGAAAACTGTCAAAATGCAAAGCCTACTAGGGTGAATCCAGGCATCTGGCGAAGGCTCAGAGATTACACTAGAAAAACTGATGCACAAATGTACAAAATTCAACAAGCTCTAGTGAAAGGAATGATACCAGTCATGYGCATGACTGACCTGTCCATGACAGGGCACCTGAGCGGCGACCAACTTCAGCAGATGAAGAAAAAGGGCTTAGAGGCCTTATCTCTCTTCTCACATGCAAACTATGAGATAAATGTGCAGAGAAAATTGTTTATGAAGTCAGACATAGGCAAGGATTATGCCTATCTGTGCTCTTCACAGATTCCCTTCTCTGACATGCTTTTTGGAGATGACCTCCAAAAACAATTGAAAGATATTGGTGACCAGAACAAAATTGGTGCCAGAATCCAATCCAAAGACTACCGTAGCAACAATTCATATGGTAATTCGCATGGTAGCAAATACAGGAATTCAAAAAACTCCAGAGGCCAGGACTACAAACCCTGGAAAAGGAAAGAAGGTCAGAGACAGAGCACAAAACAACGACAACAGTCAAAATAGACACAAAAAGCTCTAATGACCTGGTAAGTGCATGCACTATCAACAAAAATTTTAAAGCTGGTAATATAGCTAATTTTATAGACACCTGGAGGTTGCTAACATCCGATAGTACCATACTTGAGATCGTAACTGGCTATCGTATAGCCTTTGACTCAGAGCCTCATCAAACAGTAGCTCCCTGCATTCATTTCTCCAAAGGAGAGGAACAAATTATAGACAAAGAGATTGCTAAATTGCGAGATAAAAATGTTATTGTGGAAACTACTCACTGTGAAGATGAGTTCATATCAACCATATTCACAAGACCCAAAAAGGATGGATCACACAGGCTGATCCTAAATCTAAAAAGACTCAATGAACATGTAACCTATGAGCATTTTAAAATGGAGTCCTTACAATCAGCTGCCCAACTCGTTAAACAAGGGTCATGGATGGCAGTTCTTGATCTCAAGGATGCGTACTATTCAGTGCCTATAGCATTTGAACACAGAAAGTACCTCAGATTTAATTTTAAAAATACATTATATGAATTTACATGCTTACCTAATGGGCTATCTAGTGCCCCTAGGTCATTCACTAAGCTTATGAAACCAGTTTATGCTACCCTTAGAGTTAAGGGCAACCATTTAGTGGGATATATCGATGACATTCTTTTGTTAGCTGATACCCCTCAGGAACTTAATAATCAAACTAAAGATGCARCTAACTTGCTTAGCTCATTGGRCTTTACAGTCCATGACATCAAATCAATAATTACACCATCACAGCAAGTTAAATTCCTGGGATTCATTATTAACTCGACTACTATGGATATATCTATGGTTCCTGATAAAGTTGACAAGCTAAAACAATCATGTGCAAAACTATTAAAACATCAGGGACTTGTACCTATAAGAGAAGTTGCCTCTGTAGTAGGCCTTATGGTTGCCTCATTCCCTGGAGTGTACTATGGACCCCTATTTTATAGGTCCCTAGWGAATGACAAAACAAATGCACTAAAATCACATAATTGGAATCTAGATAGTGAAATGAGCATCTCACCCGTTGCTAGGAAAGATCTAGAATGGTGGATTAGGGAATGTGACCTCTTCCCTTGCCCACTAGTCTTACAACCACCTGAGCTCACCCTAAAAACTGATAGTTCACTCTCAGGCTGGGGTGGCATAATTGAAGGAACAGACTTAATAGCACGGGGAAGATGGTCACCAGAGGAATCACTTAACCACATTAATTTTCTAGAGATGAAAGCAGTGTTTTTATGCCTTAAATCTCTATGTCATCATTTGCATGACAAGGTTATAAAAGTGCTATGTGATAATACCACAGCAGTCGCATACCTCCAGCATATGGGAGGCACTCATTCCCCACAATGTAATGAAATTACAAGGGATATTATACTATGGTGTAAAGAAAGAAGCTTAAAACTGTCTGTCTCCCACTTGCCTGGCTGTCTTAACACTGAGGCAGATGAAGCCAGCCGGAAAAATGACAGCAATACTGAGTGGTCCCTTGACCTAGACTCTTTTCAAAACCTCACAAAATGTTGGGGAATGCCGGAGATAGACATGTTTGCTTCTAGACTTAACCATAAAGTCCAAAAATATGTAGCCTGGAAACCTGACCCAGGTGCCATAGCCATTGATGCATTTACAATTGACTGGGGAAAATATCAACTAATATACTGCTTTCCCCCTTTTAGCCTTATAGGGAAAGTTCTTCAGAAAATACAGTTAGGCAAAGTAATGGCAATCTTGATAATTCCTCATTGGACAACACAGTTCTGGTATCCGAGGCTATTGCAAATGCTCCAAGCTCAACCAATAAAGATAACAAACAAACGAAAAACACTGATGCTGCCTCACAGCCCAGAGGAGGTACATCCACTTTACCCCAAACTGCAACTTCTTGGTTGTCTTGTATCAGGTTAGCTCTTACAAATCAAGGAGTAACAGGCGAACCTCTTGACATTATACTTCAATCCTGGAGGACAGGGACTCGTAAGCAATATCAGACATATGTTGCAGCATGGGTCAAGTTCTGCGAGGAGCATAATGTTCATAGTTTTCAGCCCAGCCTTCAAAATGTCCTTCAATTTTTGTGTCATTTATCTAAATCTATGGGTTACAGTGCAGTAGGAACAGCTAGAAGTGCTTTATCAAGCTTCATCAAAATTGATGGGRTGAAGCTGGGCAGCCATCCTGTTGTGTCCAGATTTATGTCAGGGTTGTTTAACCTCAAACCTGCATTGCCACGATATATTGCCACATGGGATCCACAGCAAGTGCTACTTCACTTGAAGAAATTCCCTACAGCCAGAGAACTATCTCTCAAACTGCTCACGCATAAGCTAGTCATGATTATGGTACTTATATCCGCTCAAAGAACACAAACACTCCAGTTACTGTCTTTAGATAACATGAATGTACAGCCAAATGAAATYTCATTCAATATAACTTCATGCCTAAAACAGACCAGAAACACTGGGGGGAAAAACAGACACTTGACTCCCATTGTCTTCAAGCGTTACACTTTAGATGAAAAACTTTGTGTGCTTACTCTGTTGAATGTTTACATTGAAAGAACTGCTTCCCTTAGGAAGGATTCTCGTCAACTGCTTATTTGTCATGCCAAGCCTCATGGACCAGCATCCAGAGACTCTATCTCTAGGTGGATTAAACAAACCATGAAAGCAGCTGGAATTGACACTAGCGTTTTTAAAAGTCATAGTACTCGGTCAGCGTCAACTTCAGCAGCTAAAGCTGCAGATGTTCCTATTGAAGACATAATGACCACAGCTGGCTGGAGTTCAGAGTCAGTATTTGCACGATTCTATGACAGACCAGTTGTAAAGCCAAATAACTTTGCAGAAGCAGTGTTGGCTTCCTCGAACAATTAATATTCAGGCTTAGTCCTATATTGCTGTTACAAATTTATTGTTAATTGTTCTTTTACCTATGTTACAAGGTTTCATTTTGACATTATTATACATGAATCTCAGTAGAAATAAAATTCATGTAGCTATTACTGTTGTGAGGGCTAATTTTGTGAGACTTTGAGCTTTGAAATCTCACGTGACCTCCGATTGTATGCAAATGCGAGGTAGAATTGATAAATTAAACGAAACTTACCTGTAAGTTGAAGTTTGATAGAGATTCTACCGTAGCATTTGCAGAAATGAGGAGGTCACATCCCTCCCTAAAACCCATTCACCCTGGGCATTAGTGTATGCCCCCATATGTACTTTTCAAAGTCACCCAAAATTCTTTAAAGACTGAGCTCGGATACGCATGCTTGCTATCTCACGTGACCTCCTCATTTCTGCAAATGCTACGGTAGAATCTCTATCAAACTTCAACTTACAGGTAAGTTTCGTTTAATTTATCAATT